GCTTAGGACAATGCATCAAAGTATGCGGGTTCACATATGCAGAAAACGTAATACTTCAAGTCGAAGGATAGTTACACCCGTGGTCGCGCTAAAGATGCTTAGAGCATGAACTAAAAATTCAAGCAACATCTTTAGAATGGGTCAGTCCGGCATCCTATTATCTCTAGATAATATCTGCCCATGTGCGGATGCGAACACACCGTCATTGACCATGAGACTAAGTCAAACATCCAACACACACTAGTCTCACATGCATTAACGATATCCCACTCTCGTTATTACTCGACTATGGACATTTAGATAAATATTTTTTTCAAGATGTTAGTCTCATCAGCAGAATAACACTATCTGATAAACATCTTTAAAAATAAATCTAGGAATATAATATTTGTTTACATTAGCATGAGATGTGTAAACATATTATATCTGCCTATACATAATAGAATAATGATAAACAGTTGGCCATCAGGGCACAACTCCAACAATCTCCCACTTGCACTATGGCCAATCTGGCATCGGTCGAATGCCAATGGACCTAGTGTGACCCTCATGCTTTAGCTTTCCTAAAGGCTTGGTCAAGGGATCGGCTATGTTGTCGTCAGTATCTACTTTGCAAATCATCAGATCTCCTCTGTCTACGATTTCTCGTATGATGTGATAGCGTCGTACAATATGTTTGGTTTTCTGGTGAGATCGCGGTTCCTTTGCCTGTGCAATGGCCCCAGTGTTGTCGTAAAACAACGAGATAGGGTCATTAATACTAGGAACCACTCCAAGTTCAGTAATGAACTTCTTGATCCAAACAGCTTCTTTAGCTGCCTCGGCGGCAGCTATGTACTCAGCCTCTGTAGTCGAATCGGCGGTTGTATCCTCCTTGAAGCTCTTCCAGCTAAAAGCTCCGCCATTCAGGCAAAACAAATATCCTGCTTGTGATTTTGAATCGTCTCTGTCGGTTTGGAAGCTAGCATCAGTGTAACCGACCACCTTTAGCTCTTCCTCACCACCGTATACCAGGAATGCATCCTTAGTATTGCGAAGATACTTGAGGATGTTCTTGACCGCTGTCCAGTGTGCTTCTCCTGGACTTCC